TTGGGGTTCCGTTTTAGGGTTTAGGGGTTTTGGGGTTCCATTTTAGGGTTTAAGGTTTAGGTGTTTTGGGGTTCCGTTTTAAGGATTAGGGCTTAGGGGTTTAGGTAGGGGGTTATGGCTTAGGGTTTAAGGTTTTGGGGTTCCGTTTTTGGGTTTTTATGGCTTAGGGTTTAAGGTTTTGGGGTTTTGGGATTCCGTTTTAAGGTTTAGGATTTAGGGTTTTGGGGTTTAGGGTTCGCCAGCGCAGCGTGGCGCCCAAGCCAACTCCTTCTTTAAGGGGGCTGCCCTAAGCTCCAAAATCGCAAATTCGCACTCGTCAATGTGTAACAGCCTGTGGCTCAGCATCTGCTTGCTGCGGGACGTGCAATAGGCGCATGTTAGGTCGCAGCCGTGATCGCAAGGGATGAGGACAAGTAAGTAGACTCAAGCGTCCTGCCTATATATTTCTTATATTTGACGCGTCCATCTTCTAAGCCGTGTTCCAATCCGCAGCCAGCAGCCCCCAGCAGTCAACAGCACTTCGCCTTCCGTCCGCCAGCTGCGCGGTGCTCAGACCACGCCTTTGATGCCAAATCAATTACAGAATTTTCGCCACCTGATTTGGGACTTTTTGCTAAGGTTTCTCTTTCCTTGAGGAGATTTGCACGCGTGGAGGTCCCATTCAGCGCCCCCCGCGCAACTGGGACCTCACAAAAATGGGCAACTCCATGCTCAAGGTTTTCGCACACCATGACGAAGAGGCAGCCGCCGACCTCAGCGAGGGGGCACAGGCTGTCCTCACGCACCTGTGGGCTTTGCCCTTGCGGACTCAGGGTGCGGAGCAGGCTAACGTCTTTGCCTTTCCTTCGGATCCCGATCTTGAAGGGCCACGGGCGCCATTCTTTGGTGGTCAGCGTCAATTGCTTACACACGATTGGCTCCCAGTATGTGCAACGCAGCATGAAGCCTGTTTCTTGTTGCGTCATTTCGAGGTGTCGATTTGGTGCATCAACTGGGACACCAAAGCCAAGAAGCCCGGTAAGCTTGTAAAGTGGCAGAGCAATGGAGTTGGGCAGACTGTGCATGCGTTTGCCGGAAACGAGAAGGGCATGGTTTACTATTGTGGCAAGCTCTTCGCCGACAGCTTCATCGGTAGGCAGCTGCTGCAGGCGGGGATCAGTACGGCGGACTTGTACGCCCGCGTCCCCTTATTGATGTCACCGTCTAAAGACTTCGTCCCGTTCTGGCGAACGGTGGATGAGCAGCCGGACGAGCTTGCCGCCGGCATGCACAAGGTCGAAGATGGCAGAAGCGAGGTCGGCGCTTGGTTGGCCGCCGACCTTAGTATTCTAGACACTGCAGAAGACAATCCTCAGACCGGGATAAGTGTTTATATTATCCCGTGCAGTTCCGAGGAGTGCTTCGAACAGCAGCCGAGTCCGTGGTCGCCAAGGGATTGCTCACGATCAATGATAACCTTCCAGGCTCCATTTTCCGTTGCCCCAAGTCCTGCATAAAGCTGCGCTTCCACCCAGACGAGGCGGTTCCTTGGCGAGCTCAGTACGGAATTGACATCGTGCAGACCACTGCCGCCCGTGACTCACCGCCGCGACTGAACGCGCAGGTGATAGCGGCCCTCTTGATGAGGCTCTGCTTGATGGATCTTGGCCTGGAGCGGGATACCCAACAGCAAAAGCTGGAAGAGTGGCTGCAGTCTCTGCGTAGCCACACTGCGACACACCTCAAGGACGTCGCGTGGGGGCTAGACAATCCGCGGAAGCGCCTTGCCCGCCGGGCGTGGAAGTTCTTAACCTCTTGCCCCCAAACCCTCCTCAGTACGGGCCGCACGTGGATTGGGCGAGTTGTCGTGTTCCACAACACGAAATCCAGTTCTGCTACAAGGGAGGAGTGCCCGAACCCCAGTTCGTTGGATCAGGTGGATGCCAGGCTTCCGGAAAAACAGGCCTGGAAGCTCTCCAGGGGCACCCGCGACAGCCTTCACCATGGGGGTCGGCGATACCTGAATGCAGCAGACGCACACTGGGCAGCTCCATCGGATCGGAGTCGCCGGCACTGCCGTGCCAGACCTGTAGGGAACCCTGGAACACGGACAGTGCCACATAGTGGACCAGGGCCGAGTCCTGACTGGCAAATTCGCCATCTGGCGGGACCCTTGTCTAAACTGTATCCACATATCTCTATATATATATATATATACATATGGATTTGCAGGGTGTTGCGCGTGTCTCGTTGCCAGCAGAGGTTTGGACGGCGAAGGCGCTTCCAGCCGGGGCCCATTTCATTCCGAACAACTCCATCATTTGCAGCAAGAAAGCCCACCAATTCTTTCGGGGCGGGGACTACGACGCCGATAAACTGCGCGCCTCCTCCGACCCTGACTTGGTCAGCTTCCTTGAGAAGACTCCTGATGGACAAGGCCTGTGTAGTGTAGACTGAAGGGGCCGGGGTATCCTGCAGCAATCACTATTGTAGGTCTGTAATCTGTGCTCGTACTTGGCGTGGCATATTCGCGCGCTGCCGGCGCGCACGCGCGCGCGCAAGCGCGAGAGCAGACGCGGCTATGCGTGCGCACACGCGTGCCACGACAAAGATGAAGGGTGTGGGTGAAGGGCAGAGACAGAGCGACAAAGAAAGAGAGGGGAGCTTCCACGCGCACATTGTAGATACATATTGGGTTTTTTGCGCAGGCGATCCCGCTGTCCAACAGACAGGGACTGACGTGCAGTGCCGGCTCGCAGCTGCCGTGGCAGCTCACAGTCCACCAAAACCTGCCAACTTGGCCGAGTACGTCCTCAAAGCCAGCACCCAGAACGTCCGCGGTCTGGGGTGTATAGGAGAAAGCCCAGCTGCCGGTCTGGCTGGCCAGTGATGACGAGCAGCGAGAGCCAACTCTGGCCGCTTACCGGCAAACCCATGCAGGCTATGCCTGCTACGATGCGCCGCGGAATTACCCAATCCCTGTGGTACGCTCGCTCTGCTCTCACGCCGGACTTACGTCTGCGAGCCCAACGATGTCAGACTACATCCAGAGGACGTACATCACCGTGGAGCTTCAGGTGAACCGCAAGCGCCCCTGGGCCTGTTTGGGAGGTGTCCCGCGCGGCCTCTCTCTTGGGCAGGTGTGGCTCCCACGTGGCCACCTGCAACTTGGCCGGGGGGCTGGCAGGGTCCTACATCAGCGCGGCCACTTCGAGGGCGCAACAATATTAATCCTTCCGTCTTACTGTGCGGAGTGGTGACGTTGAGGCCCTCGTGGCAGCCGCTGTGGCTGCGTCCGCCGGCCCCGGGCGGAACCCGATTTTGTCGCTGAGCGGCCTGGCCAGCTTTGGCTCGTGAGCAGCGAGACGCTGCCAGCGAGCATCGATTTTTGCATCCTCGGCTGCGCCCTCACATGTACTACTGTACAACCTATGCAACAGACAAATCGTACTCAAGCTTGAGATACTTGAAAGATGATTTTCGAGGGCGCCAGAGGGGCCAACATTTAAGGGCTCGCAGCAGGAACGCTGTCGATTTTACTTTCGAAATGTCGAAATCTTTTGGAGCGCACGAAACCAGCACAGCAGCAAGCCATGATGTGTGTGCGCAAAAACAGTGACATCCTCACTGAGAGGCGAAGTCCTGCAGCTATCTTGGTGGCGTACGGTAAAGGAACACTGCATCTGTATACTTACACACTTTGACATGTCATCTACCTGGACCTGCCTGACTGACTGAGCTCAATTGAGGCTGGATTTTGAGGCCTCCTGCGTGACCAACGCGATGGCCGCTGTGGGCTCAGGCCGAGTGGAAGAAGGCTCGCGTCTTTGCTTTGTGACATGTCCTTACGCTCGAAGAATTGGTGCGCTGATTCTTTCATCTTGCTGCAGCAGGTGCTTTGAAGACTGACCAGTGATCGGAACGATTCGCTGCTGCAAGCTCAGCTGTAGGAGCCAAATTTTCCTTTACAGGTCGACAAGTGCATTCATGTATAATCAAGTACGTTCCTTATGAGAATGACAAGTCCTTTCAGGCTTCATCGCTGTCGTCGCCGCGGCATCAGCATCAACTCCACCATCCACCAGCACAGGACATGTCTGGGGGCACGCGCAGCCCTAAATAAACCCCAAGACCACAAGCCCCTTGTAATTCTTTATCGGACCTGCTAGCTCTTTGACTGGAAAATGAAGCCTTCGTCTCTGCATTCAAAACACCAAAAAGCATGCCGGGAAGCCAGCGGAGGACGGGGGCATAGTAGGCACAGGGGGCCACCGACCCAAGAACCGGCGGAGGACGGGGGCGTGGGTGTGAGCATGGGGGAGGAGGGGGTGCGTAGTGTAAGGGCGACCGACCCGAGAACCGGCGGACCAGGAGGTGATAGGGCCACGCTCTGTGGATTACAAGGCTCGTTGAGTGCGTTCTTTTGCAGATCACACTTGCTTCGCAGTTTAGATTTCTCAAAAAGTGCAAGGAGGTTGCAGTCCTTTGCAGGTGGGGGTTTTCCTTTTTGCGCCGCTTGAGGCGCAACGAGTCCCCAGTCCGGCCGCGGCGCGCATGCCTCCCCTAAGAGAGAGAAGGACGGTGCCCGCGCCCGTGAGGGAACAGAGGATGGATGCGCGGCCTTTTGATTGCCTTCCTCCATTAAGGCCCAGATTGGCTTCAGAAGCCCAAATATGCTTCAGAAGACTCAACTTGGCTTCAGAAGGCCCAAATTGGTATCATGAAGCCGAATTGCCCAATAGATCGGCGTAGTCTAAATTCATAGAAACCTATAGATCCACTGCCGAAGACAAAATTTGCCGAAATCGACTCAAGAGTCACCGACGTCGGCAACTTTTCCGGCAACATTTGCCGCAATCGGCAACTATTTCGTTGCCGAAAACGGCAAAATTTTTCCTTTTTGAGGATAAGAATCCGTGGAGCCGACAAAAGAAGCAGCGGAAAATCAGCGACAATTTCACGGAAACTTCTCTCAAACTTCCCTCGGCTTTTCGCAGCAGAAGTTTGGAGTGTGTGGAGCGGAAGTTTGGCGGAAGTTTAGCAGCTATTTGGCAGCAGTTTGGTGGAAGTTTTGTGTGTGTCTGTGTAAGTTCAGCGGAAGTCCAGCGCAGCGTGGCGCCCAGGCCAACAGACTCTTTGAAGGGGGCTGCCCTATAATCCTCAGTACGGAAACTTTTCGATTGGAGCGAGAGTTCGCTCCAAGGTTGCCTTCCAACCTTTCAAATTGGCCTTCCAAACACCAAAATTGCCTTCCAAAGCATAAAATCGCCCGAAATTGGCTTTCCGTAGCCCGAAATTGTCTTCCAAAGCCCAAAAGTGGCTCCCAAAATTGCCTTCCAAAGCCAAATTGACTTAAAACTGGCCTTAAAGCCCAAAATTGGCTTCAAATTGGCGTTCCAAAGACCAAAATTGCTTTTCAAAGCCCAAAATTGCCTTCCAACGCCCAAAATTGCCTTCCAAAGCCCGAAATTGCCTTTCCAAGCCCAAAATTGCCTTTTCCAAAGCCCAAGATTGCCTTTCAAAGCACAACATTGGCTTCCAACGCACAAAATTGCTTTCCAAAGGATTTGAGAAGCTCCTTGCCTTGCGCAGGCACAAAGCCCCGAAAGGCTGTCATGTTCGATTTACCTAAACCTCCTTGCCTGCCCAGACACAAGGCAACTCAACAAAAAAGCTGCGCTGGCGCACAAGGGCGAAGCCCCTAAAAGTTTAGGGTTCAGGTAGGGGGTTATGGCTTCGGGTTGGGAGGTTTTGGGGTTCCGTTTTAGGATTTGGGGGGTTATGGCTTCGGGTTGAAGGTTTAGGGGTTTTGGGGTTCCGTTTTAGGGTTTAGGGTGTTATGGCTTCGGGTTCAAGGTTTCGGGGTTTAGGGTTTTGTTCGTTCCGTTTAGGGGTTCTGGTTCAAGTTTAGGGTATGGGATTCCGCGTTAAGATTTAGGGGGTTATGATTTAGGGTTTAAGCTTTGGGGTTAGGGTTTAGAGTTTAGGGTTTGGGGGTTTAGGATTTAGGATTGAGGGTTTAGGGGCTTGTGGTTCCGTTTTAGGTTTTGACAGGACCCCCCAAGTACCCTTTAGTGGTATCTCCCAATCCTCGTGAAGTGACAGTTGAGGGCCACAAAAAAGGGTAGCTGGGATGTCGAGCTGGGGTTTGGGGTTTCCAGCTGGACTGGGTTTCCCTAAACTCTCAACCCTAAACCCTAAACCCTTTAAATCAACAGCTCCTTCAAGGGTAAGACCCAGCCTTGCTGTAAGACGAGCACTATCTACGCTGCTCAGGGTTCAGGGGCTCCGTGTTGGGGTTTAGGTCGTTCAGCGTCTGGGGCTCCAGGCTTATATGGGTTTGCAGAGGGATTTGTCGGGCTAGGGTTTTGTAGGCTTTTCGAGGGTGTTGAAACTTTTCGGGCTGATAGCTTTAGGGTCTAGGATTTAGGGGTTAGGGCCAGGGCATTCGGGGGATTTAGAATAGGGATTTCGGACAGCCCAGCGTGCTACGCAGCATAGATCTCTGCGTCATACTAGGTGACTGCCGCTACGACCTAAGAAACCCAAACCCCTCAACAACACCGGAACCACTCAACACCTTACTCCTCTAACCTTCACGTCTTTCAGGAACTATAGGCCCTGAAGCCTACCAGGATGCCCAAGGTACCTGTTATTAAAGCCCTTCTGATCCTTGATAGAGAGTATTTGGGGCAGAAAAGGGTAGTTGGGAATCTAGGTGCACCGAATACCTTGCATGCGCGCATGCATGCTCAATCGCGCTTTTTCTTAACACTCTAAGAACTAAACCCTTCAGAATTCAC